ATGCCTGTTTTGGCATTATCCAGAGCAAGCTACTGTAACATACGGACCTTCACCTAGGATTGATGAGGGAAGGAAATTTAACTGGAAAGGGCTATAATAAACACCAATTTTCCAAGTAATGAGGCAGCCTCCTGGCAAGCGCGCGTATCCTGGGGATGTGCAGCAGCCCCAGGAAAATGCCACCCAGGCTCTGCCATTCCTTTTGTTCTCCCCCCAACCTCTCTTCCCTTTGGCAGCCCCACCAAGAGTTTTAACATTTACTCGGCGCCAGCGCTGGCAGGACACGAGCCATCCCGAAGGCCAGGGCTTGGCACGGGAGGAGGAAGCAGCAGCTTGTGCCCGTCTCCCCTTCCCTGCTCTCGCCTCTGCTGTGCGGCCAAGTCAGCACCAGCACCCTGGCCACATCTCCTCTTCCTTTTGCCCAAGGAATAGATCTTGGCCCTTGCAAACAGGCCCAGCTGCCCGCAGGGCCCCTCTGTTGCCTGGCCCTGTGTGGGCCTTGCTGCAGACGGGCACGTGAGCTTGGTGCAGACACCCTGGCGGCAGGAGGAAGAGGAGGGACGCCGGGAGGCAGCAGAACTGGGGGCTGCCTGGGCAGTTCTGCTCGAGGGAGGCAGCAGTCCTCAAAACGCTGAAGAGAAGAGCTGCAGCACTGAAAGGGGGAACCAGCGTTGCCAGAAGATGATCTCCAACTCCACTGGAAGCAACGTATCCCTGTGCTGGTGCATTCCCAGGGCCTTAAAAACAACGTAGAGCTGAAGCTGGGAAGAGGGGGTTGAAATGTGACACGCCTGCCTCATTCCTCATTGGGAGCGCTGTGGTGGGCACTGCACCCCACACGTTCCCAACAAACCACCAACACCCCCTGACACCGGGGCGCACAGTCTATGCACAGCAGTACTCCTCCTGGGCTAACTTCTGTATCGAAACTTAACATTAACTGTTTTCCGAGCACTTGAAGTTCATTCTCCGTATTTTGACCCATATTACACCACTATCAGGTACGATCACCTTTTTACCGAGGCACATGAGCAGCTTTGTGGATACTCTTACAATGCAGCACCTCCATAATGGCAGCAGGTAACGAGGATTTAACTCSGGCCCAAGCTAGTGACAAAAAGCTATGGCCATCTGAAAGCTCTGTGGTGGCCTGCATGAAATAASGAATGGAATTACTCCAGCTAATGACAGTTATTTAGAAACAAAAGGCATCACATCATTTTTGGCTGGACACAAACTAACGGGGCTGCCACTGAAGCGAGCGGCTTTCAAATATTTCTGAGCTYGTATATATTTGATATACTCAGTCCCAATTTCACTTGGTAAAAGCAAAAGGATGCAGGATTCTTCTGCAATCTGTTCCAAGATAAGAGATGTACCATTATATCATAATTATTGCATGTAAGAGAACAAATCTGTCAGCCTCAAGGAGCTCARCAAACTTGTTTTCTCTGTTCACCACTCAGCGCTTCTGAGCCTTAAAACGTATGAGTAGGAGAGGGATTTTCCTTTAACATACAGCTATTGTTCTGAATGAGACATGACTTTTTGCTTTACTTAATGAACATTCCTAAGCCAAACTTGGCTTTGTGAATTAAAAATGGATTTGAAGAACAACTCTATCGTTACTGATTACTCAGGACGAAGCATTTCTCTACCACGTACCTCTACCTTTGATTTCAGAGATGCAGCAGCTCACGGGCCCTAAATGTATTGCTCACTTTCTAGGTTTTGGTCGATCTACCTGGCTTTTACAGCTGTGCCATCCTATAAAAGCAGTGCTTAAAGATGATTCAATGAGACTTTTGCACTGATGTGGTATATTTAAGACAAAACTACAGTACAAACATTTCAAGACTGGGTTGAATGGACTACAAATCACAGTTTCTTGTTCCCATATACAGTTTCAATACAGATCTCAGTGCAGTGCCTACAGCAGTTCATACACCATTACTGTTGTAAAACAGAAGCAAGAGGGTGCACTTTATAAAAAACAAATAAATTATACATCGAGAGCTATTGCCAAGCTTTACATATAAAAGGTAAAAATACAGTAGTTAGTGTTGCTTTAACCAAAAAATCTAGATAAAAAAATATTCTGACATATTTTAAAAATAAGTTTGTCCAGTTATAAGTAGGTGTGTGTAGCTTGTGTGTCTGTGTGTGTGAGAGATAGGGAGGGASAGAGGCAAAGTGCTCAAGCCAAACAGTAAAACATTAGTGAACTCTATAGGAAAATCCTGCAGCTCTCTGCTTTGCAGTCTCACATTACTATATGTGGAGCAATACTCACTCCTCATTTCCTGTAGATGCAGAGTCAAACACACTGCTGAATGAAGGCTCYTGGCTCTCAACAGGCTACTCCAGTTGCTTGGATTTCCCTCCTTAATACTGTGACAAGATGATAGTATAATTAATTATATCACACTAAATCTACTCGCATTTGAGTGTGGTGCGAAAGGGGCAGTATTTATTTCTGTAGTGCTAACATTCAGACCAAACACACATGGATTACACCTGCATCATGGAAAGGCCATTAGCACTTTTTWAAAAAAAWWTTTTTTGGTATAAAAGTTACGATTGTCCAGCTGCATTTGAAAGTGGTGACAGAATTGTGTCTAATAGTGATATATATGATTTCACTGTAACCTTCTAGGTTAATGGACACCTCTGTGTGTCCAGATACCTGGTCATGGGACAGAGACACTAATGCTCAATCTGTAGATAATCTGGGCTGTGTCAGAACATGTTCACAATGTGAAAAACGTATCCCGCACTGTTTGTGAAGGAAAGGCTGACCTGAACAGTACAGTTTTGCTTGCAAGAAACAAGAACAAGCAAGGCATAGATGCAAAAAAGAGCTTGTGGAAAGAGACCCCAATGTAACTGGACTATTCACCAGAGCTTCCATTCTGCTGCAGCAAATTTTCTCCTTGCCAAAGTTCTGTGTCCCCCAAACTGTCCAAAACATACMTTTTATATAGCCGTCTGGCTTGGATGAAGCATATGTGCAGTTCAAGCTTAAAATTAGATACATACTATCTAATGCATTGACCATGACTGATTATCATTTAAGTACTTTATACCATTTGCCTTACCTAGTATTAAATCTCATTACTAAGTTTCCCTTAATTCAAGTGGATAGAGGTCCTAAATGCCTGCATTTAAATTCTGAATTAAAATTTGAATTCAAAATTTAATTTTGAATATCAAAAGCATGTAGCTATAAGAGGTGGGTATTTACTATTTACTCCATGTATTTAGACTATCCCGTCGCTTTCTTTCAGGCTAAATGGTGAGAGTGAAATGGAGTTCCAAGGTCTACATCCATAAGGTTAAACAGTTTTTAAGTTGCTCTGTATGATTTTTAATAAATATTGAGATTTCTATAAAAGCTTTTAAAGTGCCCAATTACTTTTTCATTATTCCACTCTTAATAGGGAATTTAAAATTGCCCATCTGAYCTGCATTGTGCCCAATTACCTTTTCATTATTAATAAAAATGATCATTTTTAATACAGAATTTAAAATTGCCTGTCTGATCAGCATTACAGGCACACTCAGCAAAAGGGGACGGCAAATTAATGAGCATAAATGGGAACAAGCATCAGTGAGTCAGTAGGTGGAAGTCTGTAAGGAAAACAAAAAAGAAATAAAAGGGTTTTTTTTTTTTTGAGGGGAAGTGGCTTTTTCCAAATGACTGCAGCACAACATGTAGCTGCATTTATTCATTTCTCTCAGCTTTCAAAGATTCTGAGTGGTTGGCAGACTTGCCAACGTCTAAACTTTAGATTCATACAACAGGGAAACGTTTTATATATGAATACCTTAAAATAAATTAAAAAAAAAAAAAAAAAGCAAAAACACTTTTCGAAAAGGATGACTGGATCTTATAAACCAACGAATCTTATGTCATAGTGTCATAGTCTTATGCCATACTAAAGTGTGATACTTTTTCGCAGTGGCACAAAGGTATTAACTGATATTTTATAACATTAAATTTAAAGCATTAAATGCAGGAAAAAGTTTGAGAAAATAAAGGTGATAAATAATGCTACATTATTTGTTATGATAGTCAGTCATAATACAGCATTTTATCTGTCATAAATGTTACAGGTGAAATAGCGTTGCAATAAACTAGGATGTTCAGACACACATGACTATGGTGTATTAGCCTCTCTGGTCTCCCTGTGTGAGTTATGATTTAGAAAGCTAAGTAAGTCACGCAGACTTAAAAGGAGTATTTGCTCCAAGTATCAGGACACGATGGAAAGAGTTGTACTTGTATCCCTCTGATGTTACCAGAAATTTTAAGTAGGTTCCTAATTTGATTCTTCAAGATTTAAATTTTTAAAAAAAGTTTCAAGTGTTAGTCTTCTAGTCCTCTCAAAACTGAGTAGAAAACCCTTTGAAAGCCATTGGAGTTTTCCTTTAGATGTGATTGTATGTACATTCCCACCCATCCAGGTCACACTAAGAGTGAAACAGCTTGCTACTTGAAATCATTTAGATATTTGGGGGGGAAAGGGGGGGCACTTTCCTCACCACTTTATATACTGGATGTGGCTCCTGGGGAGGAAGCTAAGTACGGCATTTAACAGACAACGCTGTAAACTGCCAACCTCTGGTGTTGCTTTTGGGCCACATTCAAGCTCACAGTTCACAGAGCTCCTGACCCCAATGGGAAGAGCCACACATCAAACCTGCCTGCATTACAAACCCCATACATGTAGCTGGMGAATGGCAGCCCAGCTGCTGAGCAAACAGATCAAGAGCAAATGCCAAGACTCCCCATCCAGCACCGGCTKCGCGCGGGAAGCGCACGGTGGCAGCCACAGCTCCCTTCTCCTGCAGTCAGTTTGCAGGCAACTGCATTGATCCCGACTAAGACATTTGAATCAGGAACGTTCTAGTTATTAATATGCAATAAGACTTAAAAGTACAAAAGCAGCCCATACTCAACTGGAAGTGATGACAGAGCCGAACGGCTGGTGAGCAGAGGGACTCCCCCAGGTGCAGAAGAGCAGCTCCCCGTGGGCAGCGGTGCTGCGAGCAGCGAGGGCGCCCGTCACCATCGCTTCGGGCGAGCAGGGCAACCTCAATGTCTGTCACCAGTGCTGCCTCCTGCTCCRCGAGGCACCGGCTGCAAATCTTGTCTGCAGAGAGTCACTCAGGCCTGCCAGTCCTCAGAGCTCCCCGTGGTTTCTATGGTTCTCTATTAAGGCCTCTGGGGTTTGGAGGAGTGGCAGTGGCCATGTCAATGCTGAGTGGTTTCTGTCCTTAACACTCATTCAACATCTTGCAAACAAGAGCACAAAAGCAGCAGTAAAAACGTCCAAGAGGCCCCTGGTCTGAAAGCAGCAGCCTAGCTGGACACCAGCAGATTCACACACCCCACAGTGGTTTGGTCCAACTCTCTGTCTACTGAGAAACATGAACACAGCACGTGTGCAGGAATGAAGTTGTGCATACAGGTTTGAGAACTAACTTTCACATTTAAAACTGTTTCCAAGAGATATGTGGATATAAATATTTATAAACAGCAGCACTATGCAGAAAAGACTCTCCAACCCTAGTCATATGTACATGCCTCCTCCTAAGAAGGCACAGCCAGAGTTGTTCAATCTGCACTTCCTTGTCAGGAGATATGGGATCCATTGCTGAGTTCTACATTTCCCTGTCCTTTGGCTCTGCATTGATAATTTTCACAAGATGCATCCCCAAGGTTCACTGGATCATCCCTATGTTTCCACACCAGGATCCTGTTGCCCAGGGTGCAAAAGAGCTCTTCACACTCTACATATCCTATCCTAAAATTGACCTCAGCCACCAAAAGCCTTCACCAGCACTGTGCAGAATGCTCTTGCAAGTGCCCTGCCTTCCTAGCRTTGCAGAGCCTAAACTGCTTTTGGAAACTTTTTATCTCTTTTTCCTGTTTTTATCTTGTTCTTTCCGCTCTTTGTTCCATAAAAACACCTATCAGAAGAGAACTGGAACAGGTTTTGAGATGGTGTTAAGAACTGTTCTAGTTTTACCCTCGTGCTGCTAAACACACCTGACAAATATTCCCAAAGCACTACATCTGGAAACAATACCTAGAAATGATATGAAAATAAACAAGAAAAGTCATTTCCCTCCTAGCCCTAAATGACAACATAATTAACCAGCAAGCAGCCTCTGAAGTAAGTTGTACTCACAACTTCACTGCTTTAACACTCAAAATTCAATACTGTAGACTAAAATGCACATATTTGAGTCACACAAGAAATGAAATCAGCAGGGTCAAAATGTGGGACCTCTGCTGTACTCTGCTAATGCTATAAGCTGTTTGGCAGGTTAGTTTTCCTTTTCCTGGTTGCACAGTGCGGTTCAAATCCAGTGAAAGTAGGTGGTCACTCACAGACTAGATTTTCATTCTTTCCAGATATTGTCACAAGAGGCGCAAGGATTATAAAGGGTTTTAAGGCCAAAAAGACAGGTATGTGTTGGTAAAACAAAGACTAAACAGTGGGAATAGTCTCACAGAAGAAAGTGATCTTGGCTACTGGAAACGGTCATCACTACTGTGAGCCACCATGCACAGTGTGGCCACAAGGTGGCCTAACAAGGTCGCCTAACCTTGTTATCAATCCATGAAGGTCTGGGATGCAGTGTTCAAACACTACTCAGCTAACATCACAGTGAACACTTCCCATTAACACTTACGAAGCAGCACATGGTAAAAGCAAGACTAAGCCTAATTTGAATGGAACATATCTAGATTTTGTTCCTTATGTCCATATCTAGCTCCAGTGTATGATTTCATCTCTCCTGAGGGAGAAGATGAAACTTTCATGTTCTGGCTTAGGTTGTAATTCCAGTTGGATCGCGATAAAATGTGAAAGTCTCTTCCTGAATCCTTGCAAAAGAGTTGGCTGTTTGATACCCAGTTCAGCAAGAGCTCGATCCCAGGCAAGTCCRTCCCTTGGAGATGTTAGAAGGTTCGAGTTTTCACAAGGTGGGAAGTGCAGAAGCTCCTTCCTCTACAGTTCAGTGGTGAGTAAACATTTCGTTCTTGTTGCAGCATCCTCAGTTACTGGGCTAAAAAGAAGAAAACGAAGCCCTGTAAAGTATACTCCTCCAAAATGATCTGCTGTGAAGGATTTCAAAAAAAGGTACTGCTGGGAACAAAATTACGTGATGGGTATTGTTCCAGAGGGTGATAATAGCTTTCCTTTTGTAATTTAAGATGACCAACACACAGACGTTTCACTTGGATAATGTACAGAAGAGTAAGGTGTATCATTTTCACAGAGTGTAGTAGCAGCTTGATTGCCATCAACCTCCTGACTGCAGGAGCCTCCTCTTTGTAAAAATGTTCACTCAAGACACCTGACCCTCACTGCTAAAGGCCCTCACGGGCACGGCAGGGAAGGGGCAACAGAGGAAAAGGTTTCTACAGCTTTTGCTTCCTGACTTCCTTACAGTTTGGAAATAACTGGGGAGAGGAGATACAACAAACGCTTGAAAAGCAATTGAAATATTGCAAATCTGTACCATAGGTCTAGTGGAGCACTAAAAGATGTTACTATATAAAGAAACTGAAGTGAAATGATAATGAAAAAAAATCCACTTCATAACACTTACAGTGACAATAGTTTCTCCTGTAACTCCAGCAACATTTGTATTCTTTGTTTCAATTCATTTTTCCTTTTATTACTTCAATTAAAAAGGTTTTCTTCCCCTTCAAACTATGCTATATAAAAATATGCATCCTATACATTGGCTGCTGTATTGATTTTCACAATTTCAAATGCTGAAGAAAGAACTCCAGTTAACTAGCACAGCAAAACCAGGTACTGTATCCAAAYGACCACTCTAACTATTTCAATGGAAGTAGGTGGACACACTTCCTTTTCACACAGGCCCTCAACTACAGATGAGATCCTACCTTGCAAGGACTTCAGCTGTTTGCTGGGATGCTGGCAACCCAGCTGGTGATGATACAGCCTCCGTGCTGTCTTTCATGGCCTTCAGAGCTAAGGCAGCATCAATTCCCAAGGGCCCATTCTGAATCAATCCCGTCTGAATTGGGGAGAAAGAAACAGAAAAACAGAAATTAAAAAGACCTGCAAGACAAGACACATGTGTTTTTCAATTGAAATTTTCCATTTCAATCATTCGCAACCCTGAAAATTAAGGTTTATCRATTTCTATGGTGGGGTTTACTAAGTGGAAATTCCTAATGGAAATCATGGTGTTTATCTGCAATGTAACAGAGCAAAAATGAAGTTTAAATATTTAAACATCAACAGGATATGTATGTTGTCTGATTTATTCAGGTTGGATTAGTTTGCTTTAGTTTTGCTTTGCTGCACTATTGAATCCTAGGCTTTCAAACCACTGCAAATGCAAACATTTAATAAACAAGACATACATTCTACTTTTTATTTTTGTTATCCGTGACAAAAGCTTTTTCACTACCATCCCTYCTCACCACCCTCCCTTTTTAAAACTAGCTCTGAAAAGCTCCATCATCACTGAAGAATGGCTGAAGAACTTACTGGCACTATCCACCTCGGGGTTATCGTGGGCTGGGAAGACACCTATGAAAAGCCAAGATAGGCATTAGAAAAGGATGGAGTCGCAGAAAACATTTTAGGAACAACATTATTCTCAGAATGATCTCAGATATTTATCTGCTGTTGTTATAAAATATCTCTGAACAGGACTTGGCATAAGTTACAAGTGAGGTGACTGCACACAAAAGGGTTGTTTTTGTCCACATAGAATAGTCACAGAATCCCCAAGGTTTCAATACACAGCCCCTTCCAAAAGGCAACTGAGCTCATGAATGCTTTTTCTGCCTTGTGGACAAAGCTCAACTGAGAGCACACTTCCAYGTACAGTTTAAAGACCTTCCTCCTTCCCCTTTTCTCTGCTACATACCTTATAACTCCCTTCTTCCTTAGCACAATTTGTAAGAGATATAGAACAATCCCTGTATTTAAAATTTATTTTGAAGCTTCTTTTAATACATATGTGTGTGTATATATATACACACATATATGCATATATGTGTGTATATATATATACACACACACACATATATGTATATATATATGTGTATATATATATATATATATATACACACACATGCATATACACACACACTTTATGAAGCGTTATATGAAAGCCCAGTATCAGGCTGGCACTTGCAAGTATACTAAGACAGGACTAAAAGCTCTTGTGGTACAGATACAAAGCAACGTTGGAAACAGATGCAGGTTATTTCCCTTCCATTAAAGCTGTATGTGAAACGTGCACTAACCCAGATCAGTCACCAGCTCACTATAGTGCCATAAGTACAAGCCTGACAGGGAGAGACTATGCCAAAGCACAGTCTATAACTAGACAATGTTTCCTTTTGAGGAGTGTCAACAGTAAAATCCATTCTATGTACAAGGAAAGAAGCTTGGTTTTGAAATACATTTACCCGCGGGGTGGCTTCTGTAAAGTCAATTAGATTCTCTGTCAGTGATGTTACTGAAACGTCCTGGTCATCTGGAGAGCTCTGTGGAATAAAACAGTYAAGTTATAGACCAGTGGTTTTAATGATCGCTGCCCTTCATCAGGCCTGTCCTCTAATCTGTTCATAKGACCTTTTCTAATAGCCTTTTCATTTCACTACCAAGATGCTGGAAACAATCTCATTGCCATGTAGCCCATGAAACTGCCCAGTGCCCCTGGGCACAGATGGGCTATTGCTTTATTCTGCATGAAGGTCAGCAAAGTCTGTGAGCTGAGGCTCTGAACTCAACGACAAAGCGGTAAGTCTGCRGCATCAACTAAATAATGCTGGGTTAGGAGGACAACAAATGAAGGGAATACTCCTTTACTGATGCAGGAATAACCCCTCAATCTGCTGAAATAGCCGCAGAATTCAGTTTACAGCCTTTTGTTTTGGAGAGGGACAAAAGAAATTTGACTCCTTCATATGATGCCAAATTAAATGTTACCTCGTGTTTAAGGTTAACCAAAATACAAGAGTTAAACATTTCTACACCAAAAAGTACTCTTTAGTACTCACACTCAGAAAGAGTGTGAGTACTAAACTAAATGTTATGATAGGCACTCAGCAAGGTCTGCCTTGCCAGTCTGAAGGCATCAATAGYTCTTGTGATACTCAAAAATCTGCTGGGCGGACAGGTGGCAATACCTTTAAAACAGCAGCTTCTTTAGATGGAGTCAGATTAGCTGGAATCAGCAAATCTTCATGGTCAGAAGCAACATTATCCTCATTTAATGCATTCCTGAAATGAGAACATAAACAACCTAATGATCAAGGTGAGGCAGACAAGAGACTGGAGTTTGTGAACACACTGAACTAATTGGTTTGCAATACTCAGTACCTTTAGATCACTGCTCTGTTTTACAGATTCAGAGAACAGCTGTGCAGCTGGTATCCTACAGACCAACGGTATCAGCATCTGCAATCTTGAATGAGCTTCTAGCACATACTTTGTCTACACAGAACTGAAGTTTTCACTGCTAGCTGTTTARAGCCAAGGGCAGCGGGATATAAGAAATTTTAGCTGTCTCAAAAGATCTAGGAAATTCCCTTACTACTTGCTAGGATACAACTCTTGAGGCCTGGCCTACAGGGATTGACTGGTGCAACACAAACTAAGGTGAGTCAGAAAATCTGCTTAGTTAGACATAGTTGCATATWGGAAAATTATGCCTAACTGATCTAATTCATTCTGTCTGACAGAAAACAGTAACTTTATACACACAGAGAGACAGCAACTTAGCCTCACCATACTTCCCTTTTGAGTAGCATATTTTGAAGATGATCTAGGTCTAGTTCTGTTTAGAAAATGATTTACCAATGCAGGCAATCTCAGCATGAGACTTTCAAGAAAGACAGATTCATATGCTTTACCTTTCTTCATATGCTTTACCTTTCTTCAAAGCATGTGATACTCCCTGTTGTTAGAAAGAATATAGTGGCTGAGTTAAAGCTTGAGTTTCTACCAATTGTATGGTTTAAAGGAATGAGAATTCTTGTAGAGAGAAATAGCACTTACAACCAGACTGAAATCATTGTCCAAAGAGAAAAGAACCTTGTGCCCTATTGAGAACAAAGCATTCTTGCATTTGCTACCCCTTCATTTTAAATTTGTACTGCTGCCAATTTCAGTTTAGCCAGCTGCAGAAATATGAACACAATCCTAATGCTAGAATCAAATACATTATTCTTTAATAAGAGGCTGCAAAAATCCTTTTGAAATAAAGATAGTACAATGAGCCAATCACAAAAACCCTCTTTTGTATTTGGAATCAAGAGATTAAGCAAATGAGGAAATACATACTTCTCACTACAACTAAACATGTAATTAAAGCATTTAGTCTATACACAGGGGAATTAGAGAGAAAGGTCAACAGCTGTAAAACAAGCATATGCATCACTGAGAATCTTCATTAATAGATTGTTTTCCCTAGAGATTACAGGGATGTGACTATTATAAAGTTCACTTACTAAAACGCCTCAGAATATTAAACAAAGCATTTATAAAAATGATACTGTCAGATTAAATACACCATGAATAAACATTACGGCATGATAAGMGTATTTCATCTTTTTCCACACAAATGATTGCCATTTTACGGGAGGAAGACAGAGGCAATAAGGTTAAATGCTCTCCTTAAAACACCACAGCCACTGAAAAGACCAGAATTTAGCCAGGATTTCTGACTCCCAACCCCGGCATTCCTAACCTGCCTAAGCTTTCCAGCTAGTTGTCAGGCACAAGCACTTCATTATAATCTTAGATTTTCAGATAAATATCCTCTTCTAATCAGAATTTTAAGGAAAACAAACAAACAAACAAAACCTTTAGAAGATTTCTCTTTCTATGCTTTCATAATAAACTAGTTTCAAACCTATATTTCTTCCGTACAGGCTAACCCTTTTTCTTGAAAGCAGTTTAATCAGCAGCTAAAGAATGTTAATGGCAATCATATGTACTGGCAGTTTTATTTGTCATTCTTTTTTTACATCATCCATTTTTCCAAGCCACGAGCAAGCCAGCAGCATGAACAGAAGTTACCAGGGGAAGCGAATGCAGCCCTCTCCTCCCTTCCCCTCCTCTGCGTGGAAGTTGTGTTTGAGTGATCACTTTCCTGCCCTTAACTTTCTCCMTCTTTCCCAGTTCCTTTCATGTCAATCACTGCATGGTTCCCTCATCCAGGAAACATTTTTCTCCGGAAGCACTTACGGAATGACAGTGTTTGAGGCAGAGACTGCTTTCAGCAGCTCTCTTGGTTCTTGAAATGCTGGGCTGGTTGTTGGAGGACTGCTCTGGTTTTTGCCTGCTGGGATGCCCCTGTACAAATGAAACACACACACACATCACTGTGTGCTCTTTTTCAATAACTGGTCTAGAAATCATATACTGTAATGCTTTATTTTTATATATTCCTGGTGGTTTTCTACCAAACCATATGAATTAATTCATAAGAAAGTGACAGGTTTTTGTACACAGCATTCTTTCTTCCCCAGAGAAGAGCTATTACAAACCAAACTCTTCCCCCTTTCCACATTGAGGTTGTTCAGGGGTCAGAAATGACTTCAGTGTTTTGGCTTGCTGCTGAAACAACTTTACCAGATTAAAGTATGGGAGATTGAAAGAAGTTTCTGGATTAGCTTGTACATAACAATACTTTRCACCTGTAGCTCTTGCTATTTTTCATCTAAAAAAGACTTCATACTTATCAGGTTAAGCCATGCTGTAACAGCAAAGTGAACCTAAAAACTCCCTTTCTGAGGCAAATTTCAGTGTTCACTAAGCCACAGAAAGATCATACAGAACACCAAGACTCCAGAGCTCCAGATTCTTAATGCTCTATTTGAATGACCAGATCCTGTCTATTTCTTCCAAATCTAGCCAGTACCTGACAGCAGCATCCTGAACGTTGGAGTTCTTGATAACTCTCAAGCTGTCTTCTCTTGTGACCTGAAAGAAAAATGGAGAAAAAGAACCTTTTTTTGATACCTGTTGCCATTTTGTACCAGTTCCAAGATACAGAGAAAAGTTGAGTTCCCCCCTCCTAGCACTGGTGCGCAATGTTCATCAGCTTATTGTTAAAGCTTTGTTAAAGTTTTATTATGCTTTATTAAAGCATAAAACTATTTTTATGAAAAAAAATAATTCAGCAGAGTAGCCAAATAAAATATTGTTTATGAAATGTACTAGGGCATGCTAGAAGAATATATATAATACTATTTATATATATATATTTATATACACACACACATAAAAGCAGAGAATAATTTTGGTTAGGAGAGAACTTTTGGAGGTCATCCRGTTCAATTCCCACTCAAAGCAAGGCACAAAACCAGAATTAGATTAGGTTACTCTGGGCCTCCCCCAGTTAGCTTCTGAGTATCACCAAGGATAAGAGATTTGTCTTTGGGCAATCTGTTCCACTATTTGGCCACCATGACTGTAAAAAAATTTCTCCTGATATCTAATATGTATTTCCCATATTACAATTTCTGTCGGTTGCCTGTTAAAAAAAAATAAGAAAAATAAAAATGAGTGTTTACCTTGTATCCTGTCTCTGCCTGGGCCTTCAGGATATTGCTTTTGATGTCTGCTGGAAGCCACGTTGCCACTGGTATAGGGCTCTCAATTGCATTGTTCAGACATTTATCTGTCAACTTTATCACTTCATCCTAGGCACAGAAAATGTTCATTACAAGCAGTTCCCACATTAAAAGTCTGAGTTGAAGTCACAAACATCTCTAAATGACAACGAAGTCTCAAGGGAGAGGAAAAATGGGCAGAACTGTCCCAAAATAATAAAAGAACTTATTCTTTTTTTCAGAAATTAACTATAAAATTACATGCAAGATACAAAGTAAAAAAAAAAAATTTGCAACAAATTCACTGATTCAAGATCAAAAGGTTTGCTTGAAAAATCTGCCAGAAAGAGGCAGAATTTTGAGATGGATCCTTGAGCTAAACGGATATCTCAGATCTGCATTCTCCATTCAGTTCTATCCTCTTAGGATCCTATTGCCCAGGCTGCACAGGACAAGACGTCTTGGGGAAGAACTATATTATTATTGCAAATAGTGTGTTTTTGTCATAAAACTTGATCATTAGCTTACTGACATAAGTTCTCTTTCACCTACTGAACAGTAGAACTTTGTAATTACCAGTCTTGCAAAGGAGGAGCTCAGTTGCTACATAAACAAATGATCACACTGCATATACATCAACTGAGCATGACCATAAGTAATTAGTCATTGCTTGACCTGATGGAGTTTCTAAGTATAGTATATTTATTTTAACACCACATTTACATGGGCATAGTCACCAACATCTTATATGGGAGTATCTTCAGTATGAAGCTGATAGCTTCCTCTCAAAACAGAATTAGGGATTTTTAACCTTAAAATTCACTCGTAAATTAGAGCAACAAATTAATATATTATTAATCACCTCTCTGATAACTATTTATATAAAAGCAACCGGGTAGCCTGATACATTCTAAGAATAATTAAAAATTAGGTATCTTTACAATACAGTATAATTTGCTATGTGAACTCTATTTCTTCATTATAGTAAGTTTCTTAAGAATTCCCTCTAATTTCATTTCATTACTGGCAGRAATTAATTAGCGGAGTGGAAACTTTGTGACCTTTCTTCTCAGARTATAGCTCAGCAGGGGGAGACAGAGACCTACTTTCCTTAACCAATTTCTGGATAAGGAAGCCTCCTTCCTCAAGGCAAATGCTCCATCCCTACAATGGGCAAATTCTAGCTAGATTTCTACTTGCATGAATTGCAGTGTATCCAGAAGAAAGAAGTCCATTGCATGGACAGAGGGGAGAAAATAAAAATAATAAGGATATGGGAAGACGAGTTGCAAAAGGTGAAGACCTGTCTCTTAACCAGCTAACCTCCACTTGCTAACTTTTTGCATTAACTGGAAATAAYGGTGATAACTCCTGGGCACTCAGACTTTACGGAGGGAGAAAAATTTCCTCTTCTGGTCTCCTTCCAAGCAATCTCTTTATGTGTCCAACTAGGGGCTTATAATACCAGGTGAAAGAGCACCCATTTTTAACTTYTGGCCACAGTCAGCAAGGAATACAGAACTTTTTAAAACCTAAAAGGAACACCCTCAAAATAAATGTCAACATATGTCAAAATAAATAAAGAGAAACCACCATTTGTGAGCAAACATTGAGACACACATTCACAAAATCTATGCACACTAACAAACATTTATYAAACATTTAATCATTTTAATTTTACAGAAGCTACTGTGATTGCCAAATGTCCGGGATGAAATTAAAATTGAGTTATGATTTGTACTATTGTGGCACCCAGCACTTAACTTTTTACACCGGACCTTACTGAACTGGATAATGTAACACCCCCTGCAAGGAATTCCCAGAGCACTGGTCTGGTGCCAGTCAAAAACACGACAAATTATCATGATTGTATTTTTTTAAAGAAACAGCATACAGGTAGGTGAGAAAGCATTTGGCACCTGACAGATCCTTCAGATGTCTGATTTACAAGATGTTTAACCTAAAACAATAAGGCTGCTGTGCTTTGTCAATATTCTAGCTCATTTGGATTTCTTACTGTTTCCAGGCACTGGACAAAAAATATTTGGACTTAGTTCTTCAGCTCATTGCCCCATTTCTGTCTAAGGAGCTAAGCAGTGGCACAAAAACAGAATGAACAACTAAAGGCAGCAGCAGGATGTGTTTGCCCAGTCCTCTGTGCTTTTGAGCAACGCTTCTGCTCAAATGCTTCTGCCACTGAAAATCTCTCTGCGGAAAGAGAAAGCATCTGCCATACATAGATTTTGAGCAACTTCCAAGTGCTCAAAGATCACAAAAAATAAAGGAAGAAAAAGGAAGCCTTGCATATTTGCACTTCTAACTTCGGAACAGATTTAAAGTATAGGCAAATGGGGTTAACTTTTTATTGCTCACTTCACTTCAGAAGCTGATGAAAGCAGAGTGCTTGTGTATTTAAGAGTTATTTGCTCTCCTTTGTCGGATCAGGCCACTGTGCTAGTGAAAGCCTGGAAGTGACTAAGTTGCCTGCTTCCATTCCAGCAAAATTTGGCAACGAGCAGCTAGGAAGAATAGGGCCATTCATTCCACCTTTCCTAATTCGCATTCTGGAAAGGTTTCTCCCTTTCTAAAAGGGCAGGGAAGGCTAGATAAACATTTCCCTACCAAAGAAATCAAGCAAGAGCTTCTGGAAGTATAGAACTATGTACAGGCAACTTTGGCAGGTCATCTGAGGTGGGAATAAAGTAGCTCAAGATTTTTAATTAACATAAAATAACTGAACAGTTCGTTGGCATCTGACAATTACTTAAAAAGTTGAAAATACAGCTTTGTCCTACTAGTGAACTAATGCTTTCCACTGAGGTATTTCATCAAACCTTCTATGGGCTCAAACTGTTTCTACATCAGTATTTCTATTTTTCTACATTGGTATTTCATGCATTGGTAAACTTAACTGATATTAAACATGCTGAAATTTGAAATTACACACTCCAAAGAATGCTAGAACAACAACAAACTCCAAGAGTTAAGCTCATTTTAAGGTTTCAGTTGATACAAAGCAGTCAATATTATTGTCCCATTCTGTTCAGCCAGAAAAAGACATCAGAACCTTTTACGAGTAAATAATTAACAGTGAAACAACATGCATGTGCCTACATGCCAGTAAAAGCACATTTTGTAACAAATCCCATGTGGAGATATTTTTTTAAGCGGCGTGAAAAAAACAGGCAAATAAAGTGTTTTTAAGAGTTATTCTGAGGTCACTCCTTTCAGAATTAATTTCCAAATGATTAATCTTCATCTCTAATCACAACYGGAGCGTGCTCATCGGCAAACACCTGCAAACTGAAGCCTACCTGTCTCTGCAATCCAACCCCTGCAGAATTTGACTTACACAGAAACATTCATCTTTGTTTATCTTTTTAACCATCATTCTCAAGTGGTTACTTGAGTGGTAGCAAGCTAAATCCCAGAGGCTGGAAAGCTTTGTTTCATCTTTCCACTTGAAGAAAATCACTGATAATTTAATTTAAACTTTCAAAATGCAATTTGCAACTAAAAGTTGCTGACATCTTTGCTTCCGAAAGAAAAAAATGTGCTGGTGTACTGTTGATCCACAGATTAGCTATTTCTCAGTTATACAAACTTACTCTCTAACCAGGGTCATTTCACACCAGCCACTGTAAGCTCTATATTCACATGAGAGCTGGATACCTGCAACTGTACTRTATTGGCAGCTGCTTCTTAACTTAGCTCCTTACAGGAATCCAGAGATGTTTTAAAGATTATTAACACAGTTTCGCTCCATATTCTCGTTTTTTAAAGTACAGATTTTTTTCCTCTGCTTAAAACAGAGCTCAGCGGGCGAAGATCCTCTGAAACAAGCTGTRTAAGCTGTGCACCCTCGCTCCTGTTTGTGCTGAGGCAGTGTTTTGGGGTAAGGAGACCTATAGGCTAATCTTCTTAGCGCCTGGTAATCTTTGTAATGCAGTCACTAAGCAGAGGGGTACACAAGGCATCCCGGGCAGCAGCCCTTAAAGGGGACGAGCAAAACAGCCTGTAGCAACAAGCATGTGAAAACAAAAGCCATTTCTCAGAGTAAGAGGGGAAACCAATGCCTAGGAATGGGCTCAGCCCAGGCATGCACTACCAAAAGCCACTCTCACAACCTGACTCATTTTAATGCTGAGGGAAAAAGCAAATCACCACTTTACCAGACGGCAGAAAAATCATCAGGCCTTGCTGTAAGGACAGCACTAAATACAGAGATAAGGCTGTAAGTTGTTCTACAGCCTCTTCTTATTCAAAATTTGATAAGCAACCTACAGTTTTAGCACAAGGTAAAGGGACTGAATTGCTTTTTTAAATCAGATTTATTTACAGTGCAACCTGGAGGGAAAAATATATTGCAGTTTCTTTGAAAAAAACAGAACCAAACAACCAAGAAATCAAACAGCTAACACATACAAAAGATGAGAGGCCAAAAAAATCCCACTTCATGTGCTCTGTTCCCTTTAAGTRCCTTTGCACGATACCAACATTTTACAGCCATAACCCCTTGCCCTGGCTGGTGAGCCAAGTGCCCCCTCTGCGGAGGCAGTTCTCTGTGAAACAGTGAATTCATGCTGTTTATTTTCACTCACTATTCTACTCACAATTTCAAAAACCAAAGAAGTATTAACAAAAAAAAAAAAACCCAAAAAGGTCAAAAAATAGTTTTCTGCCATTTTGTAATTAGATTGGTTCACTGAAACATCCAATGACTACAGGAGGTGGCAGGGGAGACGGGGAAGCACAGAGGAATGAGGGGGAAGGGAGTCCTCCCCCTCCTCTGAGCAGGGTTGGCCCAGCTGCCTGGGGAAATGCAGCCCGACTTGCTTGAAGGGATTTTTGAGAGTACTACATCAAGCCACACCATTCCTCTCTGTGTAAACACAACCTCACCTAMCACCAGTTTCAAGGAGCTGGATAAAAACTACTTAGTTAATAGAAGGGACAGATTGCCAGCAACTTTACCTTAACAGAAGGTCAAAACAGAAGTTCTACAAGAATTACTGCGTGTGATGGGAAAGAGAAAAATACCCCAAAAAGCGCAACATCTGAACGATGTATATGGACAAAAGAGAGGAGAGAAGGGGAACATCTCAACTGTTTAAGCATCCCCGTGATTTATTTTAGAAAACATCACCAGGCTGCAGTATTCATGGACATACGTGCACCCTGATCTCCTTCCTCCTGAACTCATGCAGAGATTTACATACAATGAAGTGCTTGCATTTCTTTTACATTTTCCTAGCATTACTTACACTTCTTAAAAATCTTGTAAATGGAACAGGTTAAGTAGCAAATCTCTGTAACCTGAGAAGGAGGTATGAAGCCCAAGTACCTGCACGTTTATGTTGATGTTGGGACGGGCAGTTGCCAGGGGGCTGCTGTGCTCGCCCTCCAGCTGTTTCAGTTTCAGGAGTGTATCTTCAAATGCTGAAAAAGAAGGAAAAGACAATATCCTGCTAATGCCACTGTACATATATATTTGACTTGTAGCTTGCATTTTTCCTAAACCTAAAGGCAAAGGTTTTAAAGACGTGGATTATCACAGGAGGGTGAGGGAGATGTAGAGCAACTTGTTCAACCTTTAATGCAATTTTTGTGTCTACAAACTTCATATATTTTAGACCATTCTGCACTACTGCAAGTTCACTACTGCTCAGATGGCTGCACTTCATTTGTGGCTGAGCTCAGATCTCACAAAGAACTGCCATTCTTCCCTTGTACCCTTTGCCCTTGGAAATAAGCTGCTTCCAGCTGAAACAGGCCAGAGGTGACTGACCACATTGTCCTAACTTGCAGGATTTAAATGCATGGTAGTGTCTTAGACACCTCTGAAATAATTTCTGGCAAAATACTGTAATCAGGAAAATCAGAAAAGGCAACATTTTATTAGCCAGTCAGAGCACAAAATAATTATCATGCATGGTATCACAATGTGACCTGAATCTGCTAAAGAGAGTCTTTACAAGGTGGTTCCAGTYGCTAAGGGTGGACCGTCCAGACAACAAGGTTATAAATCTCACTGAGAGAAGTCTGCTTGTAAAATAGGCTCTCCTGAAAGATGATTCCTTAACATCTTGCTGCAGGACTTCAACTGAACTAGATGCAGTACCTCAGGTACTAGAGAGAGCCGCACTCCAGCGCGAACTGGTAAATTCATCCTTACACACACTGTCAAAGTGAGTTCTCCCAAACTCTTTTGGATTTCTGTAAAAAAAACAGCCTCACGGCTATTTAATCAGCTAACTGACCCAGATATGTAATGACAATAGGCAAAAAGTCTGTAAATTCTCTTACGGTCAGGGTCCACTCTGTCAACAGCAGTTTCCTTTGTGCCAGGATGAGGGCAACCAGCAGCATCTTCCGAAACTCCTGCTGTCAAGCCAGCAACTGTTTGGCCTAGGGCATCATCAACACAAGTTTCTGGCAACTCTTCGCTGTCTAGTAAGTCAACAAGATGTCCACTGCAAAGGCAGAAGGATGGGCAGAGATAGGAAGCATCATATCACCACTCTCGCAATAACAGGAAGTTTTAATGTACACAATTGCTTTATCAAGCTGGTTACTGCTAACCAGGCACATTCTGTAAAATCTTTTTCTGGTAACTAAGAGACACTGGCTGCCAGGAAGTTAAAAAAACAAAAAAAAATCAAAAAACCAGGAGCTATTCAAGTCTCTAGAAGAATTGACTTAATGGCAGAGAACACAGGTCCACATCTTCTGTTTTTTCATCATGTAGCAGTAGAAAAAGTGAAGAGGAGGAGGGAAGTCTCAGAAACTCCATGATGTGTGAACTTGAACACAGCAGCAGACTGCAAAAGAGTGAATCTTGAAGCAATCACAGCTAAAGTCCCACCTAGCACGTACATTCAAAACTCTTTCCGATGGCAAATATACATTGATTTACCTCATTTATTATTATACCACAAGCTGACTCTACTTCTTTCAAGAAATAGGTAAGCTTTAATCTGCTACCTGTATCTTTTCAGAAGAAGCATTCCAAGTTTTTCTAGCTCAAGGCACATTTTAGCATTTTACATGAGAAAAAGAAAATTTGAGGGGAGAGAAATTGATACTATTTACAAAAAGTTCTTTTTTTTAAAACCAATTTTAGTAATTTGGGTAGAGGCACAAATGAAACCTTTGCAGTCACAGTACTTTAAACGAACCACAGTATGTACACTGCACCCAAATGTCTGGAACATTTGTTTTTACTTTCTTGGCTTTCTAATGGAAATGCCTCCTTTTTAATTTTGCCTATCATCTGTATTTATCAGAAAAAATGGAAAAGATATAAAAACTAAAGTCATACTATGATGCTTATGTTATGCAAACAGTCAGGAATCTGTCATCCATCTCCTCAAAGCTCAGGAACAGCTAAAGCTATCACAACAGCAAACTGTAACAGCTACGTAAACAACAGCTGCTGCAGAACAGAGAGAGTTAACCAGGCAACCTGGGCATGTAACTGCAGAGTYTGACTGTCTCCTCTTTCACTGAACAACTATATTTACATACGGTCTGGCTAAAATATTGGTTTGAAAAGAAAACCCATCAATTCTGAAGTTCTGTCACAACTTTGAAACTGATTAAATACCAATCACAACAGAACTTACCCTTATGCACAGATGGAGAAACTTCCTACCAGCCGTAGACCAGCTTCTCATTTGCCACTAATGGGTTAAGACCCCTTTCCCTCCCTCCATCCCCTGGAATTTGGAAGCAGTCCCGGTCACCACTAGAGGCTCAAGGGAAAAAACCACCCTTCAGTGCAAGCACTCASAAGAATTCTTTCAATGTTAAATACATGCTTTTGCAACAGATTATAGAATATGACCGCTTTAATGGTAATAATATACTATCATGGCAGGACAATTATTTGTTCCAAGGCATGTGGTGATCACTTGCTTGGTTCTCTAAGCAGTAGAATGAGTAGAGAAATTGCAAGCAAAGGGAAAAATATGAAAATTTTCTATCTACAACATTGTCTCTCTGTTCATCACTAATGGGAAAACGCAGGCAGCAAATGATCTTGCAAGGATGCAATGATAGGTACACATAAAGAATGTCAATTTTTAGAAAAGGAGCAGATGCTCACCAATTAAGACAAGAACAAAGTAAAAGCGAATCCCCTTATCCCACTCTCAGATGCTGTCCAGGCATGGAAGTGAAATGTGTTTTCAAATCTCCACATGCCAACATTTTTCTTCGTATTTTTCTGAAGACTTCTGTAAATAGCCTCCTGAATGTCAAGAATGACAAGCTGCACACAATTTTAAAATTTTGCCTATAGTGAGCTTATAGATCCCGGAGGCCATGACATGTCAAAAGGAGCACTGCAGCATCCTGCAGAGAAAATGGATGAAAGACAGAATTGATCTCTATTAGAAAGCTGATGCAGTAATTACACTATCCCCCTTTCCCCAGGGACAGCTGCAGTGTTTAACAGACAGCCAAGAGAGTTAATTTCGAAATCTGCCCATTAGAGATAAGGGCAATCTTGAAATGCAATGACATATTCAACAGGAACGCTCGACATGCCTAGAGCTGAGAAGTAGATTAACACTTACAATGAGGTGGCAGAAGTTTGCAGAAAAACTTACTGCCATTTTCTGCCATGAGATGGAGGCCTGGCCAGCTTAGCAAGGATTCAAACGGGCTTCACCCCCACAGCACAGGAGGGCTGGGGGAAGCCTTGTAGAGCCAAGGTGCAAACAGAAATCTGTCCTATTTTTCCTCCAGAATGATGGAAATCACTATCTGGCCACCCACACAGGGCTGATTACATAAGAGAAGTTATACTGTAACTTGAGTTTGTATTGCTATTAGCATATTAGACCTAAATACAAAACACCTGTTAGGAAGTATACCTTTCTCCCAATGTCTTGGATGTAAGCATCAGGAGAAAGGAATCGCTGTCTCAGGCAGCTTGTGTTTCATTTTGTTTTGCAGATGTGTGACTTAACAACCCAACATGGCCAAAACACCTCCTGAACCAGCAGGACTAACAGGGAGCTACCAGGCTCTCTCTTCTCTACCTTCAAAGCATCTCAGAAGACCCTCTTCTCCTCTGCACAAGGATATTATTTTCATCATGGCACACAATTTTTGATAAACAAAAGGCTGATAAGGTATCATGTCAATCATACGGCAGGCAAAAAGCAGAACTGCTACAATGCTAATTATGCAGCAGTCAAGAATGAAAGGAGCAGTAGCTTTCAGCATGTTTGAATCTACCTACACAAAAGGCTATTTGAACTTTGCACAGTAACAAGCACCCAGCTCCTTGTCTTCAGAATCAGCTTCTGTTGCGTATTTCAAGAAATACTCTGAGGAGAAAAGCTGAGAAATGAAACCAGGAATTCAAGCCAGGCAAATAATTATGAATAAATGAATAATCAAAAGGTTTTGATACTTGGAAAAGCTTTCCAAACCAGTAATGAATCACAAAGATATCGTTATATACTCTGAACGCCCACGGCTAAGGGAGTTTGCTACTGCAAAGGGAGTTTGCTACTGCATTACTACTACTTTTTTCCCCTCTACATATATTAATATGTATCATCATTAACATGTCCATTACAGACCGTATCATAATTTGGGGGAATATTCCAGTTGAAAAAAGCTAATAWTTTTCTAATTGAAAAAGCAAAATGATATTAATACTTCATTCTCACTAGTCATGAAGTACAATCTACAGAATACACTGATTATCTGAGTCAGCTGCAAAAGAGATAACTCGTTTTGCAAGTAATCTAATCTGAARCAGTATGGAGTTCTATAAAAGCTAATTGATTCTTTCAGGCTGGCAGTGGCACAGAATAGTTTCTCTCTCCAACTCTGCAAGCTAAATACCTTCTCAACACAATTTTTGTACAATAGTATGAAATCCTTTGTCCACTTTCTTCATTTTGAGCAATGCTGTATCTGAAGGTGATAACAGAAGTTGATTATCTTTTCAAAAACTTCTTGCAACAATGTAAAATATTCAGGGGGGAAAAAATGCAAACTTTGTATCCCTTTGAAAGCAAAATAAAGTATCTTAGGAAGATGTGATCCCACAAATGCAGACTCTTCACCTGCATTCGGATTTCTACTGAGCAGGCAGAGTCACATAGTCTCATATTTTTACTTTCAAGCAACTTCTTTGGACAGCAACAAAATCTGGAGTCGTCTTAAACAATGAAACCATAAGGGCAATGATATCTGCGCTATTATCACTGCATGGGATTTCCAAATACTGATTTATCAGAATGCATGCAAGGCAACACTTGGAGAAAGGAAACACCTTTAGAAAAAGGTGTGGGTTGCAGAAGCTTTATGGATACTGAGCAAAGATCCATCACCTCTATGCCATTTAAAAGCACATCTGTGCATTTCAGCAATACTATTTTTTCAAGTATGTGCCCTGCTCCTTTAAAAAGATCAGATGAATATTGGTGGTACCAATGCGTGCTTGTTCGCTGCAGTTTCTCAGTCCATTCTTGGGAGCTGTCACTCACTCACCCTGGTGTGAACTGGGTAGCAATTCTATTGAAGTCTGCAGAACTGCCCTGAAGTAAACCCAGCACAGAACAAAATGAACCCTTAGGGTGTATACAAGAGTGAAGGCCAGCTGGCAAAAGCATGCAACATGCACAATACTAAACTAAATCAAATCCAAAAGCAGATTGATTTCAGGCAGCCTGGGCCGATTCCCATGGTGGAACTAGCTCTGCTGTCCCATAACAGTCTACGAAGAAAAATTTAGCCACAGCTTTAATAATTAAATTGCAGTTAATCCCAGGAAAACCTCTGACATTCTGCGCACTGCACTGCTGCTCAGCTAAGGCCACATCTGCAGGGCTGTGTCCAGGCTCCTAGCACAGGAGGGATATGGAACTTCTAGAGCAAGCCCAACAAAAGGACATAAAGAAGGGAGCACCTTCCTTCTGGAAGCATCTGAGCAGCAGGGCTGGACTGTACAATCTCCTGAGCACCTTCAGACCTAAACTATTCTCACATTTTGTGATAGCTAAACTAGGCATTTCAACAAACCTTCCCTGATGCCTCCATCAGCCACTAACTGCCGTGGTCTGACCATCACATTCAGAGTTAAGCACAGCTTACAGAACCATAAAGCCATCACAAACTCTGCAACAAAATAAAGGCCTGCTATTGCGACAAYGTTCTTAAATGTTAAATACAAAACCATTCCCGATTCCTCCACTCATTAACTGCATCTCTTCCCTCCTCTGCCCAGAAAATTATATCATATTTTAAAGTTAAAATACCCTGCTTGCTTTCATCTCCATATCCCTGGGTAACTTTTTAAGAAATGCACACACAGAAGTTTGCTTTGCTCTGGAAGTTTACCACATCCACACCTTGCTGGATCTAGTTACAAGAGCACAACCAACTGTGCTAATCCTCTCCATGGACCCCAGTGATCTTGCACATGCAACTTGCATATTCTCTATTAGAG